TTATTTAATAGGTCGACAAACGAGCAGGCGGATGACCTGATGGTTAAGCAATCAGCGCCGCCCATGGACACCCGCAACAACAGAGGCGTTGCCGACCTTTTGGGGATTAGGGATTGTATGGGAAGAATTAATCCTCCGGTAACATCACTCACAAAAATTGATTTGATTTGTCAATATGTGAAGATGAGAAGTGTGGCAGAGCCAAGCTTCGGCACGAATGAGTCAGTTCGACTGGAGTGACACCGCCGCCTCACAGAAAACCGGCGTGAAACACAGCGCTGGGTTTCGCCGTGTGAGTGAGGTTAACGGAGGCCATGGGGAGGTACCCCATCACAACATATCTTCCCAATCCTTAAATATCCGAAACCCTAAGCCCCAAAAGGATGGCAACGCACCGGTAATTGCTAAATAAAAATCGAATTATTTCCAAAATCAACCCTTACCGGGTAAAAAATCCGACACCACGTATTTAACGAATAACACAATAACAAACCATAATAATCCAGCTTCTAACTAACATTTTAACATGGCGGTATGAAGTTGGTTACATAACGTGGACCGGAAGGCACACGGCCGCCATTACCAACGGACCACTTCCGTAACACGAACCAACTCGCCCCAAACTTCACCCTGACAGTTGTTATTGAGTTCTCGCTGATCCGATTATGCTGAATTGAACTCCAAAATTAAACGTGTTTACCTGCATTGAGGTGATGTGGATGAAACTTTATACTTTTGGTGACGGGGATTAAATGGAAGGGATCTTACTAAGCGCTCGAGAACTAGACAAGTGTAAAGGATTACCCTTTTTATAGATTTACACCACGGCCATACAGAAAACCGGATAAAATATTCAATGATAGCGAACTAACGACTTCGTCATTTGCAATTGTTAACGTTTAGTTACAATATTATAACTAAAAAATATTAGATACCATTTGTCCACTAACGCCATCTACCGACACGAAGAAGTAAAGTTGCGCAAGTACTTTACTTTAAAGTGTGGGAGAGCCAAGCTTCAGTACGAATGGGTCGACTCGACCAGAGTGATATCATGGCCTCACAGAAAACCAGCTTGAAACCACCACAACGTTGTGTTTTACCGTGTGAGTGAGGTTACCGGAGGTCCAATCCCTGCCCCGCCAATCAATTTTTAAATATCCGAAACCATTATCCCTAAAAAGCCGGCAACGTACACACGTAACTCCTTTGGTGTCTTGTCCATGGGTGGCGCCGATAGCCGACCATCAGGTAATCCGCAGACTCGTTTGCCGACGTATACCATAAAAAAATCCAGAAATACTCTCCTTTCGAAACGAATGAACACGCTCAAGGTGCCCGTATCGCTATAATCGATTAAACTACGTTACGAGACGACTCGAGTAAAATTCAACGTTGTACCTGTATAAAACTTTACCGAAATCACAATCTTTGACACCGACCGCATCGCTTTGCTTGCGTAAACCGAGTAAAGTCACCCCGATTTTTCGATTAGCCACCCCTTATAGGGAGGTTCGGTTCCCCTTTTCTAATCTACGTGTCCCGGGGAATGCAGGGTGCTTGAATTATATTAAGTAATATCGAAGGTCCTTGATGTACGGCCCTCTGGACTCCTAGACAGTAGACACTCGGAGGGTGTCGTAGGAGGAAATAGCTGAATTATCTATCGCGTTCACGACTGAATCGAGGTTGATTTTGAACGCAATGTCGATGGAATTCCTGAGGTATTTTCCCTTATTTCTCTTTTCTGTGTTTTGGTTCGAAATGGTGTGGCATTTCGGTGTTCACCGTTTTGTAGTAGGTAGCCTAGCTAGCAAAATCCTGGTGTTCGATCTCGGAAAAATTATTCAGTTCTTTCATTTTGATGTTCGGAATTCTCAATAGTTGCATGAATTTTAATATTTATTGTGTCTGATGGTCAATAAGACTACTTTTTAAGCGTGGAAGTGTCACTCTTCGGCGCGAATAGGCGAACTTGACTGGATTAAATGGCCTCATAGAATAACTAACAACAAAAAACAATTGCTTAATCCCCTAAAAAAACGTATTAATGAATTTGACATTATTGTCATTGTTGTTTTCCTCATAGATGTAAAACTTGATGTCCGTATAAGTTGTAATGTAGTTCGGACCCTCAGAAAATCGTTTTCGCGTCGTGTCAGAGTATTAGAATGATAAATGTGACTCGGAAACTGTTGTCCAAGCCCACTTCACCCGTATAGTACCCTTAGAACATACCACCATTATAATCGCAAAAGTTAAAGTGCGACTATGATGGTCAATTTCTCACAAAATAGATACATTTAGATGCCGTTCATCATCTTATTCAGCGTACAGATGTCCTCTGCCGCATGAGTACAGTACTCAAAGTAATTATGACTATTCCAATTCTTTGGAATGCTTCAATTATGTCAATTTTGACCATTTCCAAACTGCTTCCAATTTTCTTGTGTTTTTTTTATAAATAACACATAAGGATTTTCTTCTGTGTCGTGAGTACGTTTATAGACATACAATTTCACATATATACAACACCCTAACCCAGAACCAGAATTTGTGGATCACACAAAGATTTGTTCCGTGCGGGATTCGAACCCGCGACACTTTGCACGGCAGCCAGTTGCTTAGCTACCTCGCAGTCAAGTTAAATTAACACTGAGATATTCCCAATTCATAATTTCTTCATTCAAACCTGTCTGTTTGTAGATGAGACCCGAGAAGCAGTTACTCTAGGCACGCTACGCCATGTAGTCACGGCCAACGAAACTTAGAATAACATTCAACACGCAAAATGTAATAAAGTGGAGTATGACCAGCCGTAAGAGATCAGCTTCATTTCATTATAAGCGAGGTACAAAGGCCGTAAGCCGTGACAAACGGCACCAGACTGCTTTTATTGTTACCGTGCCGTCTTTGTCATAATTAAGAGGTCTCGTCTCGCTACGAACTCGGTTCTCGGTGAAATTACTCAATTTTCTTCCGTACAGATGTGGCCGCATTTGTTTATGTGTTCTTAAACGCTCGTGTAATATCCCTTTTGTTATCGAATGTTTGTTTTACTGTTTGGCGCCGTTCGTGCGAACTTTATACCGAGGCGGGGTGACTTACGCCTTGTTTATTTGTATTGGAAGTACTTACAGGTGTTAGATGCTGTGTAAATTGAGGGCGTATTAGTTTATTAGGGCGTTATTCTGTGTATTGGAGTGTTTTAGTTGATTGTTATGTTAATATTGTGTTTAATGCAAGTGAATAAACATGGTTTTGCTTAGGTTTGTGTTGTGGTGTTCATACTTTAAACTTTAGTTATTATTAACAAGAATTATATAGAGACTGAGTGGAAATGGTGTTAGCTTAGTGTGTAGCTGGTTAAGAAGACAAAAGTACTTTAGTAATAGTAATTACTAACCAAAAAGTTGACTCGATTTGAGCTGAACCAGTTTTAAATAGTATTTGAGAGAATCGAGAACTTCCAATAAAAATAACTCAAAAGTAACACACATGTCTACCTATCCCTTCAGCCGGGGTTGCGGGGTAAGCGTAATATGGTACCGCAGCCTCGGCCTAGAGCAGGAACAGGGGGATTTTTAATCAGTAAAAGACTGACACTCCTTCTCACCATGCCTTTGGTGAATCAAACAATAGAAGATGTACCCTCCTTAAACAAAATGTTTACCTATTCCAATCAGATAACAGTCGTTACAAAACAGAATCCGAATTACCACAGCATTGTTTTAAAAGCACACAAAATGCTAGCTAAATGCTTTGTCTGCATGTGGAACAACATTAATGTATGCGAAGGTAATCCCGGGCTCTGTGACTGAACACAGAATACAGATCATGTTAATCCGTGTCAGACGATTGTACGTTTACTGACATAAGTACATTCACGAACGATACTTAATCTGGTGACTGACACGGCCGTGACGAACCCGTCATGTTCCTGACACTAATTATTTATGTAAGACAAGTTACTTCTACGCGATTTTACCCGCTATTTGGCTTATATTGAGCGCGTAGCGTAATGTACACCTAGAGTCTACAACCTTCTTCGATAGATGGACGACTTTGGACGAGAATGTTTTTTAAATTTATTAATAACTAGCTACTCTCACGCGGTTTCAGTTTCGGTTTCCGCTGCTCTGCTCCATTTCATCGTAGCGTGATGTTTTATAGCCTATATAAAGCACTCAGGAACATCGTAGCTACCTATCAGTGAAAGAATTTTTGCAATCCGACCAGCGGTTCTAAAGATAACCTCCTACATACAAACTTACAAACATACAAATTTCCAAACTTACAAATTTTACCTCTTTGTAATATTAGTATAGATTAAAGTTGTTGAGGCTGTAGTTTGAATTGCTAAAAAGAGAGTAAGTTGATTTACATTCTTGGCCTCGATTGAACTAATTACGTTAGAATCTGATAGTGATAATAACAGTGTTCTTTTTCAAATTTGAACTTAGAAAAATAACACCATATATGTCACGGTCTGCGCTATTTATTTCTGGTCGACGTCATGGATGGGTTGTTTTTTTCTTGCTGGCTGGGTAGTAGAAGAATTATTGCATTAAGAAAGAGATCGGGTCTCATTGGCATTTGGCTTCTCATCGGTAATGTTGCAATTATATTGAAATGTTTGCATGCGAATGCGAATAAAGGTGTTTGCAAGCATGAGGTGCTAATGTCTATTTCCAACACTCAGTTCCTCCTGCGGTGTGATTCTGTAAGAATTCATTCTAAACTTCGAATCTGAATCGGCTGTGAGTAGTACATACTAGCGCTACACTTGCGAGTTGAACTAAATTGACGGCAACATTTTGATAGAAAAAGTATGAGATGACGTTAAAAGTGGCATTCTTTATTGTAATTTCCGCGTCACTTCGACGCTCACTTCACACTCAAACAAGATTCAAAATCAAACAAATTTTGTAGAATCGACGTGCTGCTCTAGGCCGATGGCTAAATGGAACCTTATAAGTAACGTGTGGTTTTGTCAACAGATGGCCGTGTTTCCACGCCCCGTTTCTCCGGCGCATCCTGGCTGGCTCTGCGAGCGTTACGCGGTGCGTACAAACGCGTTCGCGTTCGGATACGCGTCCGACCGGAGCGTGCTCGCGGCGTTCTACTGCTTACTGGAGAACATGATGACCTTTCTGGAGACTACCTCGCACTTATGCTAAGGAATGGACATGTGGAACTCAGGTTAGTGGAGGAAAAGTATCTCTTAGTTTTAACTTAGTGTGGGAGGACCATGCTTCGACACGAATGGGTTGGCTCGACCGGAGTGATACCACGGCCTCACAGAAAACCAGCGTGAAACAACGAGCGTTATGTTTCGCCGTGCGAGTGAGGATACCGGAGGCCCAATCCTTCGAGTCTATTCGAGTCTATCGGCGGCGCTGATTGCTTACCATCAGGTAATCCGTCTGCTCGTTTGCTGATCTATCACATGAAAAAAAACTATCAAACAAATTTTGCTTTGCTGTTAGTCGTGACCTTGTATTACGCAAGCGAATATATTTTGTTCTAGTGTTGTCATAAACATCTCTGTCATATGGATAGAACCCAATCATAGTAGGTACCTTAATTGTATGTTGCGAAGATGCTTTACAATTGCAGCATATGAAATGTGAAACAGACCCAGAATTAAAACATGTATTGTGACAGTTTTCACAGCTTGCTAAAGGCCGATTAGTCTTGGACTCTTAGTATCAGCAAATTATAAGTGGTATTATTACACATCTATACTAAAAGCTAAAATATTTATGGTAGGATTTTCAAAATTCTTTCACTGATAGATAATTGATTAAAGTCTATCGCTTTAAATGCTGTTGTCTTTAATATCCCGGGATACATTAGTAAATTTGTAAGGTAGGATTTTCAAAATTCTTTCACTGATAGAAGTTGATTTAAGTCGAACTATCGCTTTAAATGCTGTTGTCTTTAAAATCCATTACTTTTATACGGGTTAAAGTCGTAAGCGGAGCCTAGTATAATATAGTAAGCTAGTATAATAGCCGTATATAGGTACTAGGTAGGTGGACATACCCCTACGGCATACCATATACAACAAGAGTCCGCCGTCGATTGTTTTAAAATTCTTAGTTACAGATTATGTAACCGACAAAAATGTCTGTCTTGAGCCACGCTTCTTCATATAACAAACTCCTTAATGGGCAAGACGATCAAATGGGCTACCCATACAATTTATAGAACCAATTGCACTAAAGGAACAATGACTCCACGTGATTTGATACCGTAACAACCCCTCATTCGTAAGTAGTTCATGTTTATATTAGAGAAGTGGTCACCCCATGTTGGTGTGACAAGCTTCGACACGCGAAGAAGGTGATCCCTCCTTATAGAGCTCCCTTTTACAGGGTTTTTAAGCGATAGAGTATTAAGGGTCAATATTTACAATATTTTCTTACTCCCCCTGTTCAGGACACGTGGGAAACCAAGCATGTGTACGCCGTTAAAAGCTTATGAACATGAAACGAAGTAAACTTGTAGTTTATGGTTTTTGAGGAAACAACTGTTTGTTTAAAGAATCTGTATTTTTTGTGAGGGGAAAATCATCAAATGACTTCTCCCGCCCAGGGCCGGGCGAGAGGGAGTGTGAGACTCTTACTGACTAAAAACCCCCCTGTTCCTTCTCCTGCTCTCGGCCGAGGTCTCGGTGCCTCATTGCGCTTACCCCGCAACCCCGGCCTTACCCCGCAACCCCAGCAAGGAATCTGTATGTGAGCAAATAGCTTCATTAAGAGAAATGACCGACAGAGTGACACTATATCATCAATTTGACGTTCAAAAGTGAGATTTTTGACTTGACTTTTTGACAGTAGGTAGACGAATTGGGTTCCTATCTATACTTTTCTTGGAAAACTGCACAACTTATATCTCCTGTAGATATTAATTTCTGTTTGGCTGGTAATTCTGTTTAATTAATCTTTACTGCCTTTGCCATTTTTATGCCGATCCAAAGGCTGTTTAGGGCAAAATCCAACATTGACGAAAAGTCTCAAAATGCGATCGCAATATCATTCGCAGACATTTCCACTTGAACATTCAGCTACTGAACAGATTTCCCGGTAGATGTTTCCGTGTATTAATTAGCGCGGCTCTAATTATCCGGGGCGGCTGCAGTCCGATATTATTATCGATCCAGGATTACACTCGCTGCGTCCGTGATTAACCAGTATTGTTCTAGAAACCACAATGGCGGCTCCCAGCTAGGATTAATTTCGCAGAATTTAAAACTCAGAATTTCTTCAACTTTTTTCAAGTTCTACTTATTTGTGTGTATAAGTGCTTCTTTATACATTTAAAATGTTTCATCAGCGATGTCTTGCTTAAAGTGATCTTGTGAATTATGCTTTGAACTTTAAGAGTCTTAACGTGTGAGTGGCATCCATCAAAGAAAGTAAATTTATTTGCTTTGAGATTCTAATAAATTCTTTAATACCTATATTGAATACTTTATATCTATATCGCCTTGGTTTTTCAAAGTCGGCAGAAGTATAAGGTTCGAAGGTTTTTAATATGTTTTTATCATCAATTACATGAAATTACGAGTTGAACACAGACGTTAAACATGACACATGACTGAAGCATCGGCACGAATCGGTAGGCTCGATCGGACTGATACAACTATTTCACAGAAAACCGGCGTGAGACAATCACAGTGCTTTGTTTCCAAGCCTAATCCTTCTCCTCCCCCGTCCCTTTCCAATGCTTAAATATCCGAAACCCTTATCCTTAAGAATCCAGCAACACACTCGGAATTCCTTCATTGTTGCGGGTGTCCATGGACGTCGTCGTTTGCCGTCCTGTTACAAAAACCTATCGCCAATAGGTCTTCAAACATCTATATCTGTTCCTAAGTGACGTTGAGCATGTAAACTACTAAAAAATAATTATCTTTGTTCAGATTCGATTGCGGCAGTGGTGCCGGCATCCTAAGGTCACCAGAACCCGTCAGACTGGGACATTGGAACACCATATCAGTGTACAGACATCGATGGGACGCGTGGCTTCGACTTAACAACGGAAAAAGAGTGCGAGGACGATCCAAGGTACGTGGAAACTCAACATAAATTGAGTAGTTTCTTAGGTCTCAAATCTATACTTATATACTTATCTATACTAATATTATAAAGAGTATAAGAGATAATTTGTAAGTTTGTATGTAGGGGGTAATCTTTCCAACCGCTGGTCGGATTGCCAAAATTCTTTCACTGATAGATAGCTACCATGTTCCTGAGCGCCATAGGCATATACCTATATAAAACATCACCCTATGATCAAATAGAGCCGAGCAGCTGGTGAAACCGCGCGAGAGTAGCTAGTAATATTATAAAGCTGTACAGTTTGTTTGTTTGAACGCGCTAATCTCCGAAACTACTGGTTCGAATTTAACCATTCTTTTTATGTTTGTTAGTCCATTAATCGAGCAAGGCTATAGCTATAGGCTACAGAAAATCGCAGCAGCGAGTGGAACGGCGCGAGACTAGCTAGTAAATTATATGTCTTTTCAATACAATTAATTATTAAAACATAATTCTACTTTCATTCATTGATTTGACGATATAGGTACTATACTTTTAAATGTTCTCTAATTTGTTTTTTTAAAGAAATGGCACACTATTTGCTGTAAAAAGATTATGACTTCATACAGGGTGTAAAAAGACACTTAACGAAGCCGAAAGCCACGTATCCTACCCATTATTTGGATCATTTTTTTCTTTAAGACCATAGCTGGGACTCCATGGGTTCTCGAGATATTGAAGGTCAAAGATGCATTTTAAATTTTTTTTTTGCGCAATCGAATTCTAAATATTATTACATATCTTTTTTCCAAAGAAACATTACCTAAATTTTCGATTTTTCTAAATAAATTACGCATTTGAAGTTACGAACAGTTATAAATAAATGCAGACCCGCACAAAAAACATCGTGCATCTCAGTAGGATTTTTATTTTACAGAATTGTTTTGTTGTTGCGAAGTAAAACGTCGACCTACGTACTGATTACAGTGTTTTAATGCTAAGCTGTGAACCTACGCACAGAATGACACGAAGCCCGTTTGCTTTACATTGCGCGCAATAAATTTTTTTTTTTTTGAAACCTAAAAATAAAAGTCGTTTCCCAGTGATAATTTTAACGTAAAGCTACTTAGAACTGCAGTATGCGTAGTTAACGGCTTCGTTAAGTGTTTTTTTACACCCTGTATTTTGGGATCTCATACATAATTCATTGAAAAGTATCGTTTCTGACATTTCAATCAAAGTGTTGAATTTGATTAGTTGGAAACTACCGAATTATTAAAAAAATTTGACTCGAATAAAACTTTCTCCAATGATATCATTGGAGAAAGTTTTAAAAGATAGTAAAATGTCAGTTGTCGTAAGAATCCAATTCATACATTCATAAAATTAAGCCAAATGCCATATAGGTATGCCCCGTGGGTATGCCAATAGAGCATAAATAGAATTCGGTATTTAAAATTAAAACACAAAATAATTTGAATAAATTCATTTCGAAATTCGAACGGAATCGAATTGACAACAACGCAGCACAAGAACTCCAATAGTAACGAGCTCAATGAGGCGTCACAAATTTATTGTGATAGAAAAATGTTCAGAGGAAAAAACTCTTTTACAACCATAATACAATGATGGAGACTAAAGACAAACTGTTTTCCCTTTCCTTTTCGTGTCTCCAGTTTACGATAGAAGAGTAACGGCTACGTGCAATTGACCGTGGACGGGTTTTACTTACGGATTGGAATCTGGGCCCATTGAGCGCCTTTGGAATTCCAAGGAAAACGCTACATTTAATTTAGACCTTTGCTGACTTTGTTGGACGGTTTCGGGAAAGGGTTTCGACGTGTGGTGGAGATACTGATTATATTGAGGGCATAGCCTTGAGAGAATGGAAAAGAATGTTATTAGCTTGTTTGATGAAAATTAACGCAGTTGCCGTTGGGATTCATAATTTTTGTTTCTTTTAATGAGCATAGAGTTCTCTTTAAGATCAACATGCAGTTAATATTACGTGACTTAGTTGATTTGTGTTGAATGTGATATTTTTTATCCTTTCTCTGAGTACATAATATGTTTTTCTATGCATTATTAATTAGTTGAATTAATGATTCGGTTGGGCACTCTCCAAAACAAACAATCATTTCACCATTAAAATTTCATTTTAGTACTGAGTACTCTGAAAAGTTAGAAGCACAAACCGCACTCACCACTGATGTTGTTCTGAACAACCCACAAGCGTTTCAAACTATTTATGTTGGTCTGATTGTGTGCAAATTATTACGCACTCGATTCATTGGAAAAAAATTAAAAACAGTATTATAGGGAAGGGTTGAACGTAGTATAAGTATAGTGCTAACTATAAAATAACTGGCGGACTGTTAGTACTTTACAAGATTTGTAGAGAAGATTAGTAGGGCAGAGAAAAGAGCGTCCAGTAGATATCTTATTGATATATGCTAACACTATTTACTACTAACAAAATCATCAATTGATGTCTTTCGGCTAGGTTATGTCTTTCGGCGAGCGGAAGTGTCAGCCTCTTACTGACTAAAACCCACTCGTTGCTTCTTCCTGCTCCAAGTTTTTAGCGCCTGACCCGCTAGCCCGGCTAAACTTGGGGCGATTGGTGGTCAACTGACTCTTCGAGGCGTGCGCGAAACGCTGCACTCCGCATGCCTGGGCCTGGTTCTGGTCGCAAGGCGAGCTACCTATGCTCGCCGACCGCAGACAGTAGCACCTTTTAACCCCTAAGTAGTTAACTTTCAAGAAAACATAAATAAAATACTCCCATTTCTGCAACAATAAAAGTCGAAGCCAATTTTGAAATTTATACTCGAAGCACAATTACGCGAAGTCTGAATGAAATGTCTGTAAAAGTACAATCTTTGAAACTTAAGGAGATGAAAAGATATTGAGGATCAAAGTTTCTCTAGAGATACCGGGGGACCTACAAGTTTTAATAGTTTTAACGCAATTGTTCGCCAGCTATTGGTTCAGATCGATCGCAACTGATTCGAGATATCTTCTACAATTTATGCTAGCCTGGTACCTACGGTGTAATACGTAACAGACGAGCTTTGAATATTTCGTTGAAATTTTCATGTGATATTTAGTTCGATCCTTAGGCCAAACCAAATAACAGCTTTATTTTATCATAATGATCTATTCTATACTAATATTATAAAACTGTAGAGTTTGTTTATTTGAACGCGCTTATCTATGAAACTACTGGTTCGAATTGAACAATTTTGTATTTGTTAGTCTATTTATTGGGGAAGGCTATAGGCTATAAAACAGCATGCTACGACCTGAAGGAGTAAAGTGGCGGGAGACACCGCGCGGGAATGGTTAGATAGATATTACATAAATCTGGAGTATTGTCTGTAGTGATAAAACAGTTTATAAAAGCTGAAATGCCCTACACTAAATCCACGGGAAACGTAACCAAAATAGCGGAAAGTGAATGTTGCTTACATTTAAATCTTTGAAAGACGTTTGTACCTAGGTTTTATACACAGAGAAGATTCACGAGTCATCTCAAACTGCCTGGAACACACCATTTGTAGATTGTGCCGTGATGCATGCACGTTATACCGCTTCCGACAAGGCGTATATTTCACAGAATTCTTTATTAGTTAGCACATTCTTCGTAATACCATACTGCCCTTCTTCCTATTGTTATTAGAAATTCGAATGTTTATGAGGGTGTGTTTTTGTAATCTTTTTACTAAATATCTGATCGGGTCTGAATAAAATTTGGCACTGAAAAGTAGTCTGGAAAATAACAGCTACATCGTTATACTTATATGTATAAAAGAAAAGTGTGACAGTTACACTATTCTATACTAAAATTATAAAGAGGTAAAATTTGTAAGTTTGTATGTAGGGGGTAATCTTTGGTAACGCTGGTCGGATTTCCAAAATTCTTTGCTGCTAGGTAGCTACAATGTTTCTGAGTGCTATAGGCTATAAAACGTCACGCTACGACTAAATGGAGCTGAGCAGCGGGTGAAACCGCGCGAGACTAGCTAGTATTTTATAACTCAAGAAAGGCTGAACCGATGCCGTTGAGAATTGGTGGGGATGTAGGTAAGGTAGGGTAGGTAGAGTGGGGTAAATAGTGTAGGGTAGGTAAGTAATCATGTAGGGAAGTGTAGGTAGTCAAATGACTGGATCGAAGCTACGGGTAAAAGCTAGTTTATAATAAAATTCTGCAGATTATAGCTTCTCTAGTTAAAACTATATCAATTTTAAAAACAAAAATAACACTTGGTGCCATTTTAGTTTTGCTTAACCATTCTATTATAGGCGAGTTGTACATTAATTACTATTATCTCTATAGTAACCTTTTTAACCGTTTTCATATCACGCCTTTTAGTCAGAATCTGTTTGAATAAACGCATTATGTACATATATGTATACCTATACAAATATCCAAGGTCATATACTATATAACATACTTCAATCATTCAATGTTCACTTCAATAGCACTTTCTGTAACTGAAGAAGTGTCTTCTTCGATATAATAACAGTCGTTGAGGACACACGTCTTTCCTAAGTCTTACCTGAGCCCATTTTCAATAGAATCTACGTACGTACGTAAGTTATATGCACTAAACGCTGATGCTATCGACCATAGCTTCTGACGACAGTATTAGGTCACAGTTCCAATACTAGCCGCGCCTATTGCCAATTATTGGGTGCAACTTCAATCCCGGCGCCGCGCTCCGGTGGCTTCCAAATTGAAAGTGTTCGTACATGTCACGCGTACGACCATGTCAACTAGTTGAGACCTGATTGGGTATCTTCTGAAATAGGAAATCATTTAGGAAAATAGCATGCAGTGTTAAAATTTTAGTTGAGTTATTGGCGATAGGATAAACAGATGTAAGTGTGTGAGAGCTAAGCTTCGGCCGAATGGGTCGGCTCGACCGGATTGATACCACATCCCCATCCCTTACCTTAAACCCCCCAGTCCTTAAATTTTCGTAAAGCCTTATCTCCAAAAGGTCGGCAATGAACTAGTAACT